TGAGAATGGTAGGTTTGCAATAACCTCTATTTTTTTTAGGATCAGGTTCTTTTTTCTTTTTAGAAATGATATAATTCAAAAAAATTGTGACTATTAAATAAATCTTTTTTGGATTAAAAGAAATTTTTAATTTTTTTATAACATTGGAAGCATAATTGAAGGCTTTCAAAGTGATCATTATTTAATAGTTAATAATTAAAGTCATTAATAAAAATTGACATAGCTTTTCAAAGTATGTTTAAAAATGCATGATTTATATTTTTTTAAAAAGCTAATGGAGCATTGCATAAGCCAAAAGATATTACCACATAAACAAAAGTTCTCCAAGGTGATGTAAATGTAGTCTTATGCCAATCTTTAGGATCTATTGATACTTATTTGTAATTAGAGTAGTCATCCATAAAACTATATAGGTCATGACCTACTACATCATCTCTTATAGAAGTAATAAAAGGTAATAGAAAATAGTCTTTTTGAATATATCTATTCAAATCTCAATACACACACATCTTAAGCTTATTTCTTCCCTGTTTTTTTTTTTACCAAGACAATATTAGACAAGCAATCTATAATTTCTATAGGCTTTAGAAATCTTACTTGAAGTAATATTTTTAATCTTACTTTTATAGTGAATTGCATCTTAGGATTGAATCTTCTATGTTTTTATTTAAGAAGTATTATGTTTGAAAGAAGTAAGATAATGTATTGACAAATGCTAGAAAAAAAACCTTTTAAGTTTTTATAAGACCATGCAATTGTATTGTTGTCATGTTGTAATATAGCTATTAGATGAAAGATTAGAAGAAAAATTATATTATAGAAAAATTTAAATAAAAATAATATAGAAAATTATATTTTAAAATTAAATAATAGATAAAGAGGTAGTAAAAATTAATAATTATTAATATTGACTTTTATTAAAAAAAAAAAAAAAAAAAAAAAAAAAAAAAAACTTCTACTTACTTTGTAAGGTCATAAATGAAGCAAAACAAAATGCATGAAAAAAATAATTGTTATAGACATCTTTAGAAAAGAATTAAAGAAAATTCTTTAATAAAAAATATTTTAAGGAATTAAAAATTGATATTCAAAGAGGATTAGTTATGAACTTGAAGCAAAATCTAACTCCAAGGATCAAAACCATGCACATATAGTAATTTTAGAATTTTTTGGTTGATTGAAGAATGGGATTTGAAATCAAACTTGTGAAAGATTCTTTAAGCATTGATTTTAAGTGATTTGAGTTTCCATTGACTTTATAAAGACTTTTCAAAGTTAAGGTTGTTTTAAAGGTGGCTTTGGATTTTAAAAAATAAAAATAATTTATATTTTAAAAAAATATGTGAAATTATTAGATGAACTAAATATAAATTTTTGTAATTATATGATTAATATTGTGCTAGAACTATATTATAAGTTTGAGCTTGATATAATGGTTTTTTTGAAAAGTTATTAGAATTTAAATATACTAAGATTTCAATTATATTTCAATTTTTTTGTATTTTTTGTTAACTTAGAAATTGAGAGATGTGCAAATTTTGAATTAAAATCAATGATTAGATCATTTTTTATAGATATTTCAATTTATTGTAGGATTAATTAAGAATTTTTTTAAGTTTTAAAATTTAATTAAGATTTATTTAGGTTTGATTTAGAATTTAGGATTTAATTAGAATTAATTTAGGATTTTATTAAAACTTAATAAGGATTTATTTTAATATTTTATTAGGATTTAGTATAAGATTTAGAATTTGGTATTTATTTAGGATTTAGTTTTAAATTTGGAATTTAAAACTAAATTTGGATTTTTTTAGAATTTGATTTAGGATTTAGAATTTAGGATTTGGTTAGAATTTGATTAGAATTTAATTTAGAATTTGATTAGGATTTAAATAAGATTTGTTTTAGAATTTGATTTAGAATGTAGAATTTATTTAGGATTTATTTAATGTTTTATTAGGTTTTATTTAAGATTACATTAAAATTTGATTAGAGCTCATTTTAAAAAATTATTTTGATATTTTTAAAAAAATATTTTGTATATTTTTAGAATTTATGTTTTTTATTTTTTTAGGATTCTTTCATTATATATATATATATATATATATATATATATATATATATACGTATATATATTATTTTTTTGAAGATTAATTTATAACTTCTTTGTAATTCTTTTGTAATTTTTTTAAGACTTCTTTTGGATTTAATTAAAGTTTGATTAATATTATGAAGGTTTAACTGGAATTTATTTAAAATTCTATTAGAGTTGTTAGGATCTTATTTTTGCAATTTTTATTTTATCTTCCAGAGGCAAGTGCTTAGTACAATCTCAAGCAAAATTTAGAGAATATAACATTGCAATATTTATGAGGTGCATTTATCATAAACCTTAGAATTAAATGGTTGTATTTGTATTGAAGTTGAAAAGCTTATTTATGTTTCTTTAAATATCTACATCTTCTATATTATCATTACAAATGTAATAGCATGATTGAGACAATGATGCAATTTTTGCTTATGATTCATATAATATTTTTTGAGCTAAAAGAATAGTAGAAATAATAATGTTCCTTATACCATTATGATTTATTTTAAAATACTTTGCATTTCCTTATTAGTGTCAATTCTTTTTGTAAGCCCTACAATTATTTTTAGACTTATTGATCTTTGGTTTTTGCTTTTGCTACTTGATTACTTTTTTAAAGGTTATTTTTTACTTGGATATAATATTAAAGCAAAAACTTGAAAACTACTCTTTTCTTTCATACAAATCTTATTATCAAAGAATATCAATTACATGATGCTTTTGTAATATTTTTTTGTTTCTTCAATGTTGTTGACTAAATAAGTAGATGTCACAACTCTAATATTACAATAAGCAAAAAAAAAAACTTTACTTTGTTTGTCTATTTTACCACTAGACTTAATATACTAATCTCTAAGATTAAAGATTTTATCAACTAAACTCTCCATAAGTTTTTCATCAATGTAACAAAGGTTGTTATTAAAAAGATCATAGTAATAATGTTTGATGGCTTGTGGATCTTAACTAAAACATTCCAAATCTTCTTTACTAACTTATATTTGTATGTATGTGTCATTTGCAAAGGCTTATCTTCCATTTCAATTTCTTGTCCGTACTCATAGGACATTGCAATATACCATCTAGATACATGTAGAGTTTATGTATATTCATCAAGTGATTTATGATGGATGCTTGCATACTATAGTTTCTTTTATCCAACAAATCAATACAATGATGAATAGAGAATAATACCATCACTAAGACAACAAACCATAAGCAATAAGAACAACAAGGCATTGCAAGTGACAAGAAGATAACTCAACCAAAGTTAAATTAGAAATCTAATCATGAAAAATGCAACAACGCTCTAATATCACTTTGATGGATAGACTTAACCAAAAATGTATTTAAAAGAATTAAGCACTTAATTGTATATAAAGACAAGTTTCAACTTACAATGCTATAATTACATTTTTATTCAACAAAAAATTATATAAATAATATATACTATCTAGAAATTTCTCAAATCTAAGAAAAATATCAAAAAATTATAAAAAAAATAAATTTTTATTATGATATGCTTTCTTTAAAAAAAATACAAAGAACCACACCTACAAAAGATAAAAATAATCACCAATTTACAACTATAATAACATATTGAATGGATAGAAATTATGTAGTGTCAAAATTCTTAAGATGAGATTATTATAAAAGATTATATCACTTAAAATATTTGAATTATGATATTAATATGTAAAGTAATAAAATTTAAATAAATAATAAAATATTAAGAAGATTTTAATTATCAAGAGGAAATTTAGATTTTATTTAATAATAAGTCATTCAAGTTGGATGGGACATTTTTATATCTATTGTGATATTTTAATAGTCGTTGTTGCTTGTACTTTATGTAGTTTTTTACAAGATTTAATAAAAATTATTATTTAATTTAAGACAAGTATGACCATATCTTATATTAGAAAAGCCTCTTAATAACTATTATTTTTAATATATAACTTTTATATATTTATTCTAACTATTTTTTTTCTCTTAGTATTGATTCTTTTTCCAATTCAAATCAATAATTGGAAAAAACTAATTATTTAATTCAAATATCTTAACAAAATTATCCAAATTTCTAAACTTCTTAAATTTTTCATTCATTTATTCTTAAAGATACCAAATCTAATAATTATTATGAATTAGAAATAATAACTTTGGAAAAATGTAAAAAAAATAATAGTATTAATAATAAATAAATTAAGAATATTTTTAGTAATTATTGTAAAATATCTTTGTCTTGTAATCATACATTCTAACTATTGTATTAAAAATAAAAGAAGAAAAAAAATACTATTAATAAATCTTTTTAGAAAGTTTTATCTTTTGATGGAAATATAAAATATCAAATCTAATTCTATATCTCTTTTAAATAATATTAATAAAAATATAGTAAAATTTACTAAAAATAATTTCAAAACCTAAATAATAATAATAATAATAATATACATGGTTCTACTGTAAAACCTTATTTTTAATATTTTGGTTCACAAAGAAATCATTCTAAGAGACCAACATTACAAAACATGAAATTAAACTTAATCAAAAGCAAAGAACTCTCACAAAATGAAATCTTGTAGTGGGTGGATAGACAAGCTTCTGGGTTATGATGATAGCGGAGCTGTGGCGCTGTGGGTTTTGCATGGAGGAGCTCCAGAGCTGGGGATGGCGACGACGCGTGAGTTGTGTGAGAGGATCTATGACAGCGACGTCATCGGTCGCATGCTCTGAAGGGTCTTTCTAAGAGTGAGGAAGGGAACTTGTAGGTAAGCCAACCAGTGATCCGTGAGAGAAGATGGCGCCCTACGCAAGACCCAAATTTGTGCTCTTCGGAGCCTCTATGACGGAGTACTCCTTCTGCCATGGCGGCTGGGGTGCAGCTCTCGCTAATCTTTATTGCCGAAAGGTGTTACTATCTCACTTCTAGTTCTCCTCATTTGGGTTTGCGGGTGGGTTTTGCATTGCTCTGGAGTTTCTGCGTCTATAGCTAGGTGCTGCGTGTCCCAATAGCCGATTGGGTTGACTTGGGAGCTTCTCAAAGTGTTGAAGTAGTATTTACTAATAGTGGCATGGTTAAGTTGGATTTTTGTTTGGGTTTGAGGCATGTGTGCAGGTGTTTACTGTCTAGAAGTTGTTAGAAGCGTGTTAAATACAATTGCTCTTGATGTGGCATGTAGAGGTGGTTATGAGTATGTCGTCTTTGCAAATTTTCTAAGTTGCATCGAGAAAGAACTTGCTCATTCGCAAGGTAGCCCTCTATGTCACACAGAGCAATAGGTAGTTGGAGTGAGGACTTCTTGTGTTGGACGAACCCTCCACATCGTTTTATACTTAGCAGCAAGTTCGATCGTTCTTGTTGAATGACTGATTACTTGTATGCTCGGTGGACGAGTTGTTTGAGACCAAAAAATGGCTCTCTTTACAGGCAGATATTGTGCTTAGAGGTTATCGAGGCTGGAATACACGACGTGCTCTCGAAGTGTTGGACAATTTTTTCCCCAAGGTATGTAAGTCAGAGTACTCATAGACAGTGGACTGCAACATTTTCTAGTGTTCCCATCTCAGTGGCAACTTTATGAAAAGGTTTGAATAATACATGGATATTTCTACTCTCAATAGCTTGGTGTAAGAGTATGTCTACGAACAGGATGCAGAAAACCAACCAGAGCTTGTGGTGGTATTTTTTGGAGCTAATGATGGTGCTTTCCCTATGCCAAGCGGTCGAGGTCAACATGTTCCCCTTCCAGAGTTCGAAGACAATTTGTGTCGCATTTCAGCACATCTTCAGGTCTTTACAACTCTACCGTATTATTTTTGTGGTTGTTCACTGCGTGGTCTGTTTTTTCTTCCTGCTTGTCTTTGTTAAGGACAATGAGAGTTCCAACATTCGCGTTTTGAATAGGGGCTTTCGGATAAGACAAGGGTGATTCTGACAACGGCACCCCCTATATACGAACCTGCTCGCCTTGAAGCGGGCAGGTAGCTCTTTTCAACCACTTCAGAATACTCCACAGAGAAGATTTATTCCTATGCCCCAAAGTTGTACAGAATGTTTTTCTTGCTGTCCTTATCATTGTTGAATTCAGAGTATCGTCGAATGCAAGGTTAACAAATTAATACAGGCCAGCTTCGCATGTTATTTTGCGGCTAAGATCAAGCCTTGGGGAAAGAGAAAACTGTGCAAGGGTGGCTGAGTGATGCTCGTAATCAATGCAGGGCCAAACATGGAGAGAAGGGAGCAAAGTATCTGGACCGCACAAATGAGCGTGCATGTCAGTACGCTGCAGCATGCAGGCGTGCAGCTCACAGAATGGGAGCGGGAATTATCGACCTCTGGACTTCAATTCAACGACAGCCAGACTGGCAGACGTCCTGCCTCACGTGAGAAACTCGTAAAACATCATGCGTTGTTCAGAGGTTCTCGTAGCATTGTGCGAGTGAGCTGACAGCAACTGGCACAAGCCTTCTATGAGAGAAACATACTGGAAACAACAGAATCATTAGCCCTGCAGTCATTGCTTCTCCTATATGTTAACTTGTCACTTCTTGCCATCAAAAACCACCAAGAGCAGGAGCGATGACAGGATTAGTCACCCCTGTCTTCTCCCCTGTATCTTCAAAGTAAATATAGGGGCGACTTGAAGGATCTAAGGTTGAAGTAAGGCCCACCTTCAGCATTTTCTTCACATTTATGATCAAATAAAAGAGCATAATTGTGGTTAAATTATGTGTAAACGATTGCAGGGATGGGATGCACCTTAGTGCTCAAGGGAGCGGGGTGATGCTTGAGGAGCTATTAAAGGTGCTGAAAGATTCCCCCTGGCAACCAAGCTTGCATTATGATGCTATGCCTGAAGACCTCTTAGGGCCTCATATTTACAACTTTCTGCACCCCTGTGAAGAAGATGTTGAAGAAGCTAGAGTTTCATCGTAAGTTGGCTTTAATCTTATCTTGAGCCATTCTACTGAGTGCACTATTTGATCTAGAATTCACGAAGACTAGATGCTACAACAGAAAAAGTCTTATTGGAAGTAGTCTCGCTTTTTGTGTTTTACGATCTTTGCTAGAATTTCTCTCGTCTTTCATTAGAATATTTGAATGGAAAATCATCCTTGAAACTCACTTTTATTCAACAAATCTCTTGACTAAAAAGTCAAAAGCTGAGTTTACTTATCATCACAACTTTGGTATTTTAAATCCATTGTGTTGGCAGGCTTACATATTTCTTTTTTATGAATACAATGATAGTAATTGATTGTTTAACACTTGTGTAAAATGAGGTGAATGATGTATAATATTTAATAAGTGTCCAAATTATTGATCTTGTAGCACAATTCTTTTACTTATTTATCTTGATATAGTTTCTTTTAAATATATGAATGAAAAGTTGTACTTTTAGAATCATCAATCAATAAAGCATTAAATTTTTAAAATATATTTTATACTTTTAAACATCAAATTTAATATCTTATAATTAAGTCTTTATAATCTAGGTGTTTCGCCTTGTTTTTGGAATGTGTATTAGATCTTGATTTTAGTTGTGCATTGAAAATTAATAATATAAATATAAAAGGTTTAATAAAATAGTTGTTGGAACTTCTTTTTTTTAAAATCATATATTTTTGTAAGCCTTTAAATACTTTATTTTAACTTGAATTTAAATTTAAATTTGATAAAACAATAAATAAAAAAAAAAAAAAAAAAAAAAAAAAATGCAAGATGTATGAATAAAATTAGTATATAGTAAATAATATTGCTTTTGTGACAAATTTAGCAAAGAATTGAAGCAATGGACAAAATAAAATAAAATAAATAAAAAAATAATACTAAACAAATTATCTAACAATTATCTAGTAAAATTTCTCAATTTTTTAACATATATTCTTGATTTTAAATAATTCAGAGGTCTAATTTTGAAACATCTTTTGTTGTCATTTTAAATCAATTGAGTCATTTGTTTTTCATTTAATTAAGCCTATTAAATACATTTTTATTTTTTAAAATTCTTTTTTAATTAATAGCAACAATGATTATTTAAATAATATTAAATCATTGATACATATGAATGTTAAAAAATACTTATTTTTATAAACCTAATTATAATAAATATGAAGTAATTATTAAGTTAACAAATCCATATCAATTTTTTGATGCATATATGTCTATAATGTGTTCTTCTTATCAAACAATTAATGCTACCACCAACATCAAATAGGTTCTAAATATTATTATTCTTATCAAAATTCACAAGAACATTGTTGTTACCTTTACATATATCATTATATTTAGACTCAAGCTACAAGTACACTTTAAGTTGCTACTCATATATATCATGTTGCTATATGCACATCCAAAAAATATAGAGGCTTGTGATTCATTGGATGTTTTAATGTAGACCTTGTTATCTGATATAAATGCAGGGAGGGTAGTAGCCTCTCTTCTAATGGTCCTTCTAATGAGTCAGTCAATAGGGTGAAGGGGTAGTTCCTCTTATGGCAGCCTTCAAGGATATTGCCACTAGAAGAAAAATTGAAAGTAATAAAAAAATGTATTAAAGTGTTTTTGCTAGCTTTCATCACACTACACATTTTATTGCTATTCTATAATATAGTACGGTGTCTTTCACCGCACCACATATTTTCTTTCTAAATCATCATCACAAGTCTTTTTGCACATAGACATTATAAGCCTCATCATGCACAAAAATAAAACCATTTAAAGTTGGTATAGTGGTTTTTCTTCAAAATCATCATTTTATTGAAGTGTTGATTAATTTGTTAATAGATCGACCTTATAATGTTTTTTATTTTTTTTGAGTCTTTTCTTGTTTCTCTTATTTAGTTCTTTGGCCAAATAGCTTCATCTTTGCATATACTTGAGCTTCCATAGTTTGCCAATTCTTAAGTTGTTTTTCTTTTGGCCAAAGCTTACCTAAACTTTTTCTTATAAGTGATTTTTTGAAGGTTGTACAAACTAATATTTTCTTTGTTTGATAACAAGCTACACAACAATCATCTTGTATTAACTGCAAAGAGATTATGTTCTAGTGAGAGGTGTCAATGATCAATTATCCTTGTAATTTTAGTCATCTTATAAATATTTCAATCTTTGATTTTATTGATCAATTAAGTTTTTTGAAACATTGTTGTTACATGTAAATTGATTTTTGATTGTTAATATAATCAATTTTCATTCAATATATTTGTCATGTATGTTGAAGTTCTGCACTTGAAATTAGCTCCAATTGAATGGAGTAGGTATGTCATATATTATAAGGTTGTTGGTATTTACTTTAGGTAGGAAAAGAGGGTAATATTGGCCTTTTGTATCCAACTCATGAATGATGCCTAGTCTAACAAAAAAAAAATAACTTTAGTGGTGTTGGCAATTATGAAACTTGATTCTTTTTTGTTCTTGAGAGCAACTTTTGTTGGAAATTTTGAAGTACAAGATTTGTATATGTTTTTTTTAATTCCATTTGGGATTTGAAAGCTATGAAATTCTTGATTAGCTCATCAATAAATTAAAATATTAGTTGATTATTCATAAAATATATTAGATTATGTTTTTGACAAATTTATTTTCAGGTGGGCTTAATACTATTTGAATTGGATATTGTTTTCTATACTAAGGTATTGTAACTATTGAGGTCTTGGATTACTAGATTTCTTAAGCATCCTTTAGTTGTAATACTACTAGCTAATCTTTTCAATGATATATGTAAGAAGTCAATATCTCATGTTTAAAACATATACAAATAATGAAATTATATTATCTGATATTGTAATGTGTCATTATTACAAGCAAGTTGAAGACAAAACGTCTTATCATATCTTTTAATAGCTTTGAGTTGGAATTAATAGAACTTTATAAGATAATATAATTTAATACATTGAGCCTTTTAATTATAATTGATTTCATTTCGATGAACTAAAAATATTTAATTATTTTTATAATAGATTGTGAATTGTAATCATCATAAATATTTTTTGATTTATAAATATTCTATTTAGAATAAAATTTCTACATCTAAAATTTATAAAAGAGTATTGATATTTGAGCCAAAGCAATGCTTTGTCTATTAACAATATGATAATGCATAGAAATCCTAACATTTGAAGATAAGTCTTAATTCTTATTGTATTTGGTGCCTATCCATTAAAAACTTGTTGCATTTCTTATTCATTTTGACTTGTTTGAAAAGGGCATTGAAATTTTGAAGGTTAGTAGTAAAAGACTGAAATAATAATAATAATTTGGCATAATTGTTAAAATATGATCTTTTATAGATGTATTAAAATTTTAGGGCATGAAACTTTTAAGAAAATTTGTATGGAATAAATAAATATTTTATTAATATTTAAATGACATACAAATGATAAAATAATAATATTATATATTAAAACTTGAATTTATAGGAATTTATTAATATTAACATGGAGTCTAGACTAAATCTCACATACAATAGTGGGTTATTTGTTTTATAGGTATTTTGTATAATAAGAAGTCAAACTATAGGACATGTCTTTTATGCAATGAATGCAAATACTATATTAGCTCATATTTCAAGTGAATTCTATTCTTGCTATAAAAATTCTTCTTTCACTCTTACATACACACACACACAATCTTTTTTTCAAATGATTATCTTATGTGATTTCATCTATATGAATTGTCTCTAAGTTTTGGTTGTTTTTCTTTATATTTGATAGTGCAAAGTTTTTGCTTAAGTAGCATATACAATCTCAAAATAAGCAATTAATAGTATATACATTACATTTTAATTTAAATTTTGTCTCAACTTCCTTCTATCTTTTCTTATTTTCTCTCATTCTTACTCTTGTTCTTTTCTTCTCTTTCACAATGAGTCTTCTTCCACCAGATTTAAAAAATATATATACAACTCACAAGAAAAGTTATTTAAAGACATTCAAATTCATATATTCGATTGCAGCTATGCCATTTTGATTAAATGCTCAAAAAAAATTGTTGTATGTAGTATTGTTGTGACTACAATAATGACAATAGAAGCACCATTTTTTAACTTTTTCAAAAGCAAGAGAAGTTAATTAAAAAATTAGTTGGTTTGACTTCTCTTACTTTTGAAAAAGTTTAAAATTACTTCACAATTCAAAAATTAGTTGGTTTGACTTCTCTTGCTTTTGAAAAAGTTTAAAATTACTTCACAATTCAAAAATTAGTTGGTTTGACTTCTCTTGCTTTTGAAAAAGTTTAAAATTACTTCACAATTCAAAAATTAGTTGGTTTGACTTCTCTTGCTTTTGAAAAAGTTTAAAATTACTTCACAATTCAAAAATTAGTTGATTTGACTTCTCTTGCTTTTGAAAAAGTTTAAAATTACTTCACAATTCAAAAATTAGTATGGTCATTCAAACTTGTTGCTTGGCTAGATAAAAAAGATAATTGTTGGAGCTTTAAGGTCATCAATCTTGAGCACAACTATAAACCATCATTTTCTCTTTTTAGACATATTGTATATAGAAAGATAAGAGTGGTTGAAAAAGCATATATTGAAAATTTATTATTTGTAAATATTTACCAACATGAGGTTTCAATAGCAATGCATCAACAAAATAAAATATTTGTTGTTGTAAAAAATAAAATCTATAATACATGTCAAAGATTTATTAAGATATTATTCAATGGATATATATCGCTTAAAGCCTTGCTTGATGACTTTACTTGCCAAAGCTCTCAAGTAGTATATATAACAAAAAATAATAGAATAGTAACTAATTTTTTTTTTATTATCTCATTTCAATCAACCTTGTTTGCTTGAATCAAAAAATATTGTTGATTGATGCTACTTATAAGACTAATAGGTATTAAATATTATTCTTCCATGTTATTAGATATATATCTTTTAATAGCTCTATTATGGTGAAGCTTATTTTCATGGTCTTAAAGAAGTTGGATCTTATTGGATGGTGCTTGAATGGGTAAAAAAACATTATTAAGATACTTTTGCCTAGCACTTTTATTGTAAATTGTGAAATAATTCTAATCAATGTAATTAAAAAAAACTTTCTATCTGCAACCATTTTTCTATGCTTCTTGCATATTAATAAGAATGTTCTAAAAAATTACAAGCAATACTCTACAAATAAGAGATGGTAAGAATTTTACAAAGTTAGCACTTAGTAACCTTTGTATATTTC